AATGACTCTCCAATTTCACATTTGGTGTGTTATCTCTTAAAACGCGATTAAAAACCTAGGTGGATATAAAATAATAAGTTTACATTTGCTCAATTTACGAGGAACAATAAAGATAGAACAGAGGTGGTATCGCTACAAACGGTATAAATTAGTCAACCTATAAGATATCATCATCAACATCATCATCAGTCTGATTCCCCACTGCTGGACATAGATAGGTCTTTCCGATTACACGGCACTGAGCTCGATGTTCAGCTTTAATATATGTATATTTATATTTTAGTTCTTTCTTTTATATTTGAAAGCACTATCCTTCATGCCCTCGCTTGTATATAAGCAGAAAGCTAGTCGCAATGTATCTAACGCAGTCTAGATCTTGTTACACGACATGAAATAAACGCTGTTGACATTTGTTTGTCACAATAATAAATGTAAACGGTTTTAGTTCTTTACAAACTTTAGAAGTCGGTTTTATGCATAACAAACTATGGAAGAATAAATATATGTATGCATATAATGCCCACCATTCTCCAAATGGCTGTAATTTTTTGTTGGGGGAAAATTATCTAATGCTTTCCCTCGCCCAAGGTAAGCCAGAGCTCTTACTGACTGAAAACCACCCCGTTCTTTCTCCTGCTCCAAGCCAAGGCCGCGGTACGTCATTCAGCATACTTCTAATCGCTAAGATATTTTTTATATTGTTTCTATTTATGAAACTGGACTTATTGTCTGTAATCATAAACAGTATGAATTCACTACTCCGCCTTAAGCATGCCTGGTGATTAGAGCTCAAACCTTTATCATGTAATAAGAAGCCTTTGCTGAGCTGTGGGCAATCATAGGCTAAGAATAGGATACGAAGTTTAAATATTACGTTTTACAAATTAATTCAAAAATAACCCTCACACTTTTTTTCACGCTTGATTCACGACAAAAGAAATAAAACTCTCCGTGTCTAAAACAACCAGCTTCATTTCCTGTGTACAAAATAAAAAATATATGTAACGTAATACTCCTTACTATTATTCACCATTAATTTCACAATAAAAAAAAGTATTGCAGTGCAAATTACAACTGCAAGTCGTAAATTAACACCGAGTTCCCGTTATACAGTAAGAATTACACATTTATTGTTAAAATATAGTAAGTTTTATTTAGTTTGCCTGTCGCAATGCGTAATCGCGGTGAAAGACTGCGACGTTCAAGTGTCACTTTTTGTACATCTTTTTTACGTTGACACTGACACCATCCTCGGAATTCCGGTGAAGCATAGCACTTTAACCCGTATTTATGAAGAGCGAAGTGTGATTAAGTTAGACAGTGGACGAGTGGGTTTTTTACAGTTATCTACAATAACCATTCTCTTTCAAAAATTTCAAGTCTTAATGTGTAGTTTAATAAGTGGGGGAGAGCCATGACTAGGCATGATAGCTCGACCGGAGTACCTTCACAGAAAACGGGCGTGACATAACGTAGGTCCTACTTACTTTACTAACCTTTGTCGGGTTAGTAAAGTAAGTGGAAGTCCAGTCCTTTCACCTCTCCAGATCCCTAAAAGCCCCAAACCCCAATTCTCTAACAGCCGAAAATGGCGGCAACGTACTCGTAACTTCCCTGGTTGCAAACTACCAAGGGCGACGTCGACTGCTTATCATCAGGCGATTAGTCCGCTTGTTTGTTGCCTTCTAACAATGTCAAAGAAACAAGTAATTAAGAAAGCAGGCACTAAAATACAGAATTAATCACTTTTGGGTCATTCAGCAAATAAGAGTATAACAATAAATATCGATAAATTTTTATATGGGTTATGGATCTTAATTAAATGATTTTTATTTTATAATGGCATAAAACGTATCTGGCATTAAAATATACCAGAGAAAGGCTTACGGTGCTTAAGCACTCTTTATATTCTGAGAAGAGCTCACGAGAAATAAGCCCTTGTATTTAAATAGTATTACGAATGATCTTATTGTCAACTTACTTGTACATTCACTATTTTATTCTACTGATGTAGTGTAGGTGTGTTTATAAACACGATTTAAATTTCATGTGTTACAACACACCTAAATTGTAGTCAAAAAGAAAATGTTGCGTGATGATGTTGCGATAAATGAATGAAAACGAGTCTTACTTATAAAATAAATAATAGAACAAAAACATAGTCTAATACATTTCCGCTTTCCTCTCAACCCACATCAATCGAGGTTACTTTACACGTACATTTTCCGCCGACAATTCTTCCATCATCATTAGCTCAATTTTCTCAAACAAGGCACAATATCAATCTTTCTCTTAAATTATTTTTTTCTAACTAAATATAAATAAATAATACTAATATTGTATAACAACTATCGTGGGATATACTAAATTTAATGACAATTATGACTTAAACACAAAAATAAATTGAGAAGAATTCTTCTATTTCAAATGACTACGGGATTTTTTTTATGTAATAGGTGGGCAAACGAGCCGACGGATTACCTGATGGTAAGCAATCAGCGCCGCCCATGGACAATCGCAACGGAGGAGTTACGAGTGCGTTGCCGACCTTTTAGGAATTAGTGATTTGGAGATTTAGGGATTGAGGAGGGATTGGGGGAGGAGAAGGATCTCACTCACACGGCGAAACATAAAGCTGTGGTTATTTCACGCCGGTTTCCTGTGAGGCCGTGGTATCACTCCGGTCGAGCCGATCCATTCGTGCCGAAGCATGGCTCTCCCACACTTAGCACTCTCCTACACTTAGTTTGTGAGCAGGTAGAGAAATTCTTAGTTAATTCATGTGAGTAAGCCGTTAATAAAAATATGTCCTAATAGTTATACTTGAGTTAATTAGGATGAGTTGTAAATAGTTTTGTGGAAAGTTCTAAAAATATTCGAATAAACACTAGAACGTAGTATATAATTGACAACAAAATGCTCGCAGTAAACTTTCAGTTTTACACTGAAATAGGTTAGACACGCTAACACGTGAGCTCTGCTACTAAATTAATAGCACCCTAAGTCAGCATAATAACAATTTTCTTTGACGTCATCACTTGCAAACACTAGTCAAACGAAACCCTTACACCAATTGGCATAAGGCTTATAATCCTATTCTGCTTCTACAGTTTTTATTTAGTATCTTTCATTACAAATTTGGTTTAGACTGCCGTTGTTACATACGAAACTATAAGCCTTATTAGTATGTCCATATAGTTGAAAATGCATTCAATTGAACATTTTAAAAGTAAGTTCATATCAGTTCAATCGTAAAACTGAAATGGAATTCACTAACTACTTTAAATTCCACTTTTATTAGGTCTAAAAATAGTAAAAAATTTCAATATAAAATATGGTGCATTTTTTGTTTAGAATTTGTTCAAATTAGGTTTTGTAAAACGAATTGTCGTTGCTGCTTTCTGGCACTTTATTTTTAGTTCATTGTAAGATTTTGCCGTACTTTGGCCTAGATATGACAGTCGTTCAACTCGTATTTTCTACAACTTTAATCGAGTTTGTAAATATTGAAGTTGGGTATTTTTTCTCTAGCAACCGTGCTATAAGTAACAAAACTTAAAAAAATAGAACCAAATTACTACAATGTGCTGTCAACGACTTTCAATCAATTCAAATTGACAAACCTAAAAAAAAAAAACGAAAAACTATCGTCAGTTTTTTATCTTTTTCTTTTTGAATTCCGTATTCTAGCATTGGGATGGTCTTCACTAACATACAAATTCGCACTCAAACTTGGAACAAAAATTTGTGGATCACACAAAGATTTGTTCCATGCGTAATTAGAGACGGAGAGAGATTGCGGCCAGTTTCCCAGCTACTGCATCGACCACGCAATCTTGCATATAAAAAAACAAAAGTCCCATGTGCTATAAATAAAAAGGTCTTACTGCATTTCAAGGCGAATACCCTTGAAGCGCACTTTAATCTATTTAAAAGCTTGTCTCTAGGGCTACTCGCTTCACTATACACTATAGGGTCGTGATGGCCTGGAGGTTAAGGTATCCGCTTCCTAGACATGGGGGTATGAAACCCGGCAAGTAGTAAGACTAGTAATCAATATTGCTGTGCGTTTTAATGATTTTTACTTAATACTAAAATATTGATTTTTTTTTTAAACCAAATTTGTAATGAAAGAAATTGTGTGATTTTTGTCATGCCGCACCTCTATCAAACGTTAGATAAAATAAGATTTGAATCTACCCCTCATTCCCTTATCATCTCACGTTATTTATGAACACCCCGTTAAAGAAATCTAACTGGATAACATTAAATAATATTTCCAAACTAAATAACATGCGTGACACATTGACTGATTATGATATATTATTATGTGTTACTTCGTGTCAGCTATTTTCAGGACTGTGGTATTAGCAACACATTTCCTAAGCATCGAGAGTCTTTTTTAACCTATCACTATACTAGGATTATCCCTTTTATCGTGCGCTTTTTTATGTTTTATTTCATCCTATATGTAATGTGTATGTTTAATGTGATAGGGCAGTAAGCAAGCAGACGGATCAACTCATGGTTAGCAATCAGGAATAGTGGAGTTGCAAGTGCGTTTCTGCTCTTTTATAAGAATAAGAAATTTTATAAGATAACAAACCAAAAGGGTGAGTTTTGCATAGGATAACTTTACTTACACTGTGTAACACAACACAAATGTTGTTTGACGCTTGTATTCCGTGATGCCGTGTTATCTCTTCGGTCGACTTGACTTAATTGTGCTGACGCATGGCTCTCCCAAACTAAACAAACACATAAATTAACATTCATCCTACACCGGGACCTAAATAACAATTTATGGATCACTTAAAGAGTTTTTTCATGTGGAAAGCTATATTTTCCACACTGCGCTAACGGTACAATTAAATAATGGCATATCTTCTTATGTAAATAAAGCCCATAATCCTGTCACCAGGGCTTTCCATAAGAATCTTCCATTACATAACCTAGCACCATTAAGCCCGTATTAATCAAAATGTTTTCCTTGATTTCAGGCTCTGCAATGATGTCGCATCAAAGAGGAATCACACACTGAAACCTAGAGTAGTTCTGCCGGAAAACTATGTCAAAGGTATGTTGTAAAATATACATAGAGTCAAAACTCATAACCAGTCGAAACCACTTTTGAGTACAAAAATTAGGTTCAGTATTTTTGACCGATTCTCTTAATTTAAAAGATGTTTGATATTCGCAGTCAAAAGTGGTTCTAACTAATAACGTAGGTTAAAAGATTGTAAACTCATAAAAAGTTGAGGTGGTTAGTGGAAATTACAGAAAAATCACCAAAATAGTGTTATTAAAAAAAAAAATAAGTTGACGTGTTTATAAATTCCATCTGCATTGTACATGACTTGTGAATTGAAAATACTACAAGCTCGAAATTTCTTTAAGAGTCAGAAATTATAATGTAGTGTTTGGGTAACTGACATGCCTAGCTCAGATACGCCTATTTACATGGGTCGGTTTTTTGTGTTTACCATAACTTACAGAATGTAGAACGGCCAGTTGAACATCAAACACAACTTATGTTACATGCTATCGTATCACTAGCCTTTGTACCTGTTCCAAATTTTATACATCAATCTTAATAAAGTTTATTCTCTTTTTATTATTGATGATGATTGATATATCCATGAAATTCACGAATGCTGATTGGACGAAAAAGTTATGTAAGCCCGTACGATTAAGTTACCTTATTTAATAGGTAGGTAACATACTATAATTATAAAACCACGTGCCGCATTACAAAACCAGTCTCAAGAGAAATGCCTTTATGGCTAGTCCTTTACATTGCACTCGATTCAATTCATCGGAGAGATAATACGGAACCTTTATCTCTTCTATAATTAAATTACGTTTCCTAGAAGACAAGAGTCTTTCAGAAATCTGAAACTGATAGGTCCAATAGTATCAGATTGCACAATTGAAACGGTGGCTAGGGTACCGGCTGCCGGGCAACGTTGATTTGGGGTTAGGTGAGAAGTGTATTTGAAAAGTATGTTTGAAAATACACTTACAGGAGCCAAATCCTAGTTGCGGGCACCGCTTTTAAATAAAACAAAACAGCACCTCGATGTTGCTATATTTAATTTCAGATATTATTGAACCTTAGATAAAAGATTTTGTAAATAAATAAATCTTATTACATCTAAACATCATGCTTTATTACAACAAAATACCATGGTTATGCCGCAGGACGGTAATTGTGAATGCATCCTAGCGTGCGTGGATTCGAATTTTTAATTTGGCACGCAATATCTTTCTTTGCCATCCTTTAATTATGGTTTCGGGTCAAGGGCTAACATGAAACACGTAAGCGAAATTTGAGCTCCCAAACCCACGACACCAGAAAATATACAGTGCTATTATAACACAAGGATGACTTTAGTATTTCAATTCCGTAAGAGGTTAATTATAGTCACAATTATTTTAAACCTGCTCTTAAATTGAAAAAGACAAACAAATCTTAAATCCTAATACTCTCACTTGACTTAACCTAGAGGTAAGCAAAAAAGCTAAAAATATTTTCCTTAAAAAACATTTTTTTAAGATGATATATTGTGGATAATCCCCACTTAGGATGCTTATTCATCATGAGAAGGGAAAATGAAAATCCACTTTAACCTTTCCTCCGCAAACACTCAAGGTTCTTAGTACCGGGATCTTTTTAAATACTGTTTTTTAATTAAACTGTATTCATAATAAAATGAGTGTATTTAATTTACTAATTTATTAAGTCAAAAAATATGTTTTTTCTCTTGGCTTTGTTCAAAGTTATTCCAAGAAGGAACAAGCGGACTTTTACTTAAATTCGTGTCTTAATTGAGCAGATTTTTATATGTCAACCTCCTTACTTAGTAACATTAAAATTTTATGATTAGTTAAACTTTTCCTTGGTAATTATTTTATGCCAGAAGCAATTATTAAGAGTCAATATGTCATTTTGAGAACACGAGAAGGAACACGACATGTTCTCATGTTTTAATAATGATATTTGCTCGTTGATTATATATTACTATAGAAGAAAAGCCCTACGGTGATTTTATAACTAACAACAACATACCAACATTACAACAAATGTATGGTAAATCAGATGGCAAAATGACAACCATACTATTATCAATGTTTGTTATTATATATCATTTGTAATTTTAACCGTTTTTATTATATTATTGTTTACTAGCTGGCCAGCTTCTTCGCTCGTAGTACCAGTATAAAAAATTGCCTATGTGTTATTCCTGACTATACATGCATTTGCATGCTTATAATAAAATTGTAATGTTTGAATAACATCAACATTTTATTATTTGATTAATCTATCACATGCATGGCATATAATATATAGGTACATGCCAAAGAATCAAATCTTTTCAGTAATTTTTGAAAGAGTAAGTCTACCCATCCCAACATTCTTGCGAACATTCAGGGTCATAGGTAATATTTGTAGGATTTTACTAAGAACCATGATTCCTGAGAGAAATATAATAATCGATGAAAATAGTAAATTGTGTGGTAGATCATATTTATATTAATATTCACGTAGCGAAAATAAACTGTTAAACTTTGTTCTGTGTTTCAAATAAATAAATAACTTACCTATTTTATTTTCGGAACTGAAAATAGCATAACATCTTAATTTTCTCCCAATTTACTTAACAGTGTTTTGTAATAAAGTTAACCAAAAACTGTCCAAAATTAGTCTTGTTTACTCTTCGACCCTTTTTGGGAAGAAGTTATTAACAAATTTTCGTATTGTGTGTCTTAGAAATGCGGCCGCCGGCGCGTAAAGGCCAGCCGGTTATTGTGGAGTTCAGCATCTACGTTGTAGACGTCAACTCCATCAATGTTGAGGACATGGACTTCAGGTAAGTTTTACTTTTTATTTGTAGAAAAAAAGTTATGTATTATATGATTTGCTTTTATATGGGATAAGTCGTCAAATGAGCAGACGGATTACCTGATGGTAAGCAATCGATGTCTCGCTTGGACACTAGTAATGAAAAAAGAGTTACTACAAGTGCCTTGCCGGCCTGGTATGGGCTTTTAGGGTTTTAAAGTTAGGAGATTTGGGGATTTGGGGTTAAGGATTAGAATTGGTTTTTCGGTAATCTCACTCGCACGGCAAAACAACGTGAGTTATAATTAAATAATAAGATATTTTTTTATTGTAAGTTGGATATATGAATTAGCCTTAGGCAAGCGTGATGACAATCATGATCAATACATTTCTTCCTGTGTGTTTAATTCGGTAACAGCTGAATTGTGGTATTTCCTGTCTTAGGAATTTGCACTTCGCCTGGTAGAAGGATCCCCTTTTTTTGATTTTAACATAATATTTTGTAACCATCTGTTCTCTAAACGTTTATAAAATCACCAGATAAAATTAGCGGTTGAAAATTTTGATAGAAGTCTATTATACTTCCTGGCTCACAAGATTGGGCTGAGCGGTCACGAATCCGGCAGCTTGCCGTGTGATCATGGCAATTTCCTTTTTGACGGGCAGCAGTTGTTAACGCTAAGAGGCCCCGTGGACTAAGAAACATTATTACATCAGATGGTAGTTTGAAACAAGTGCTGGACATTGCCATGCGCAATTTAAATAATTTCGTGATGAATTCCAGAATCGGTATAGTTATAGCCGGTATAGTAAAATTTTTGACTTTTGAGAAATTTTGGATCAGAATTGCTACATGAAGTTGAGCGGGTCGCTAGTATGGAAATAAAAATATGTTTTCTATTTGCAGTGTACTTACACGTGGATATAGAGTGCTTCTTTGCTGATCTTGATCTTGATCCACTGAATTGTGAAAATGACGTCATGATAATAAGTTTATTAAATTTTTACGAGTAAAATATGTGTACCAAATTCATAGGGTCTAGTTTTAATAGCAGCAGTCGGCTGTTACTAAAACTTCAAAATAAATGAACCTTGAACGTGTGTTCTAACAGTACCAATATTTCTTGAAGCACATTTAGAAAGAAAAATTCATTTTCTTCAATTTAAAAAAAAAATCACATGTAGGTACAAGTTTCTTTGTTCATGTTCTCAATTATATAATTAGCTAATGTAAAAGTTGAAACACGACCTTGGAGATTACATGATCTTTGTGTATATTTTCATATTACACTTTGGAAGCCACATAGCTCTTTCATATGCTTTAAATTTGCCTTAGTATCTCATTCCCTTTTTGTATAAAAGCATAATTTCACACAAGCGATTTTCTTTTGCATTATGAGCTAATTTACAAAGAGCTGTTTGGCATACCGGTGTGAAATAGCGCTAGCGAATATTTCACTTTGCGAGTTGGGTACCGGATGCCCGTTTTCCGTATCAACAAAATTCCCATTGCACCCGTAGCTGTTCTAGTATTGCAAATAATACGCTTATCATCCGTTGACAGGTTTTTTTTTTGTTTATCTGATAGGTCGGCAAACGAACAGACAAATTACCTGATGGTAAGCAATCAGCGCCGCCCATGGACACGCGCAACAACAGAGGAGTTGCGGACCTTTTGGTGATTAGAGATTTAGAGATTTAGGGAAAGGATTGGACCTCCGGTAACCTCAACCACACGGCGAAACACAACGCTATGGTCGTTTCACCCCGATTTTCTGTTAGGTCATGGTATTACTCCGGTCGAGCCGATCCATTCGTGCCAAAGCATGGCTCTCCCAAATTATTTTGGTTGCTCGTTTGCCCTAGCCAAAAAAAAACATACACGTGTAATAATAAAAAAACTAGAAGTTCAGTAATAACAGTCCACAGAAGTCTAAGCTTAAGGTAAAGTAATTTTATGATATTCCCCTCCTCCTAAAGTAGATCGTCGACTGGTAGAGAATGCTCAATGCATTAAGTCCGCCTTATGTACAAATAAATTGTGCATGAAGTGAATAAATAAATAAATAAATAAAGTCTACTGGAGTTCGTCTTCATAGGAAAGTACTGTTTAAAACGATACCCAATCATTTTGACGTGGCATATCACGGCGATGCCTCTCTGCCGCCGACAGTCCTTAGTCGTCGGTTAGTGCGACTTATAAAAGGCCCGTTGTGCCTCGAAACTAGTAGAGCTTCTCCCATAGTTTTGGTACTAAAAAGTAGATCTTATTTAGAAATTGAAGCCTCTATATTATGTCATTACACAAGTAAGGTCAAACAAACCAAGGTTGTAGAACAAATAATTTGTCAACTCTGACCCCATATGTCGGTTACATTCGATTCTGTCGATTACCATTAGGTAATACATAATAACGGTACCTTCTACGTTTATCGAATAGGTTGATCGACCTTCACTTAGTATTACCGATCGTTGTAAAATACCTAGGACTTAGGTATCATTTGTTTGTTCAAAGCATTTTATCTAGAATAACTTTTTTTGTTTAAAAAATTTAAAAACGTCAACATTTGCAAAGATTACGAGTTTTCCAAAGAAATTTTACATTAAAAAGTAAGAAATAAATAAAAAGAAAGTTTTGATTGTCATCATATAAATCTGTTCTAGGTCTTACTTCACAATAATATCGTTGAGATAATGCCACTTGACTTTATCTGAAATTAAGATTTCGTAATATCTTATGAGCTTAAAAAAATCCGAATAAAAATCTATATTTATATCAGTGCATGCTGTGCAAATTCTGCCAAACTAACACAGTTCATCATCATGATATAAATATCTACTGCTGAGCAAGCCTGAGCCACTTCTGGTTTCACCGCGCGGGCTCAAGACAGATTGGCGTTTTGAAATGCATCTTAGGTATGGTATAATTTTCTGGGGAAACTCCACAAATAGAGATATCGTTTTTAAAGCTCAGAAACGGTGTCTAAAGGCAATGTTTAATCTTAAAGTAAGTAATCTTATCTTACAGCTGTGAGACATAATTAAAAAAATATAAGATCCTGACACTGCCTTGCCTATTCATATATGAAGTTGCAATATTCATAAAGTCGAATCCGGTTTTTTTGAATCTTTGGCGGACACAGTTACTCGTAGCAGACGTAATGTTACATGCAAGGCAAACACAGCCCTGCTTCACAAAAGTGTTTTCTGCATGGCTCCAAACATTTACAATAGAATACCTAATGATATTAAAAATCTAAGCATAAACTTATTTAAAAGAAAAAAAGTAGATATGTGAATTACGTTTTGTGAAAAGCATACAAATTATAATTTGATTGACTTTGATGTTTAAAATTAATTAATATATAATAATAATGTTTATTTGTTGTAAAAAGGTAGATTACACAAAAAAAAAAAAAAAGATCTTAAAATCTAGAAAAAGTACAGTGTTTAACATCAACCTGAACTAGGTGCAAACCTGTGTTTCAGGTAAAAAAAGTGCTGACATACTTTTACTACAATATTATTGCTTATCAAACTAAACGAATAAAATATAACAAGTCATTTAAATAATTAGTATCTAAGTGTTACAGGTGCGCGTGTACAATTACATAAACAGACGTCAGCTATTATTATATTATTTGCAAACCTCAAGTAATTCCTCAGTTTGTTCATATGTTAGGGTGAGTACATAATTAGTTAATATTTTTTTACAACGGTAATGGTTAAGGCTATAAATACTTAATTCTCTATTTATTCTATTATATAAAAATGGGCCTAGGAAAATGAAAAATCTTTTAATAAAGGCGTGTTTTGACACTGAAGTTGAATTGCAAACTATGTCATTCCGTCTTTTGTTAGTAAAGTAATTAGTTTTATAGGTGAGTAATGAGTGCTGTTTAAGTATTAGTTGTACTATGTAAATTTGGCGAACAGTTAAAACATTGCAGGTGTTATATAGAATTGATGTCGGCAAAAGAAAAGGAAGAGAAAATGCTACCTTAAGGATAGCCCTCTGAGCACGTTCTAGAGGTAGAATAACAGTTTTTAATGCACCGCCCCACGAATTAATACAATACTGTATAATGGACTGACATAAGGCTTGGTACACTTGCGTGATTAGTTTCATGTCACCAATATATCTCATCTTTTTAAAAATGTACATTAACTTTCTGACTCGTGAAACCAGAATGCTGATGTGCTGTTTGAAACAGAGAGTTTCGTCGATTGTAATGCCGAGGTATCTGATGAATGTAGTTTTTAGGATACAAGGACAGTTACATGTACCAGCTAGTTTATTTGTACATATATGTGCAAATAACTCGGGTATAACAGTAGTATCTGGAGACTTACGCATAGAAAATTGAATGAATTTTGTTTTGTCCGAATTTAATGTTAGTAAATTAGAGGAAAGCCAACTATTAACAGAGTCAAAGCCCAATTGAGCATTTTTGTACAATTCCGATTTATTAGTAGATGAAAAAATTAAAGCAGTGTCATCGGCATATGATATTAGTTTCCCATGACAGATTTTGAGATTACACAAATCGTTGATATATATTAAGAACAGAGTAGGACCTAGTATACTACCTTGAGGCACTCCATAAGTAGTATTTTTCTGAAATGAACTCATTATATTATCTATTTTAACACATTGATAACGGTCATCGAGATAATCAGCAAAGAGATTGAGCTGCGTGCCTCTGACACCTATGCATTCCAGCTTCTTTAGAAGCAGTGGAATAGAAACAGTATCAAAAGCCTTGGCAAGATCAATAAAGATTCCTAGCACGTGGTTGCCTTTTCCTAGTTCTTCTGATATAAAATCTGTGAGTGTATGTACTGCATCAGCTGCTGACAAGTTTGCTCTAGACTAGACTGATTGGTTTTCATATTATAGTCTCTATATTTTTTTTTTTTGAATTTTTTATGTATAATTTTTATGACTGATTAATTGATTGATTTAAGAATGTGAAAATAATCAATTTTTGGCTCATATTATATTTTTTATTGACTAATTTTGTTAAATTAGTACGTACAATATGCTGAAACATACCCAATATTTGCGTGCCCAATGGGTAGAACAAAGAGATATGTAACTCAAATAAATAACATTTTAGTCACTAATTATGTACTACACATTTGTTCGGCAAATAAAGCTATTTGATTTGATTTGAAACTTTCAATTAGAAATTATATTAAAGTCTAAGTTTCCTCACGATGTTTTCCTGCATAGTATATTGGTGGTGTCAAAAAATTCTCAGAAAAAACATAGTCGGAAAAAGTCGCATTGATACTTTGTCAGATTTCGAACCCACATACTCAAGCATAAGAAACGGCCGCCTTAACCTCTAAGCCATCAGCCGGGGTTGCGGGGTAAGCACAGCCGGGGTTGCGGGATAAGCGCAATGAGGCACCGCGACCTCGGCCCAGAGCAGGAGAAGGAACAGGAGGGTTTTTAGTCAGTAAGCGTCTGACACTCCCGCCCGGCCCTGGGAGAAGTCATTTAACGATTTTTCCCTAAAAAAAAACCTTCGGGCCACCAATATAATGAAGCATCAGTTAACACAGTTACCAGTCGCTCAACTAAAACCTGCTTTTTTGCTTTGCGGCCCCAAATAGCGAGAGTTCTGAGAATGTTCGCTGTAATTAGGCTCCGAACATACATAGTTTGCACGTAGCAACCCAAACTACACATTAGGCTTACTTTTGCCTAATTACTGCTACATGATACAAAGGTCGGCAACTAGGATTTTTGTTTTCCTGACACTAAATGATGATCTAGTTACAGTTGAATCATTTGAAAGTAAAAAGAGTCACAGGTTTTTACGGCAGAAAGTATCGTAAAAATAAGCAGAAGCACTATTGATTAGTCTCGGGTCATTGCAAGAGTTTTTCTCAATAGTCAGTAAGGTTCTGACAGTCCCTTCTCCTCTCAAGTCATGGGATGATGTCAAATCACCATTTACCCTTAAAACAAAAAATACAGTAATATAAACTGATTTTCGCAGTGCTTATATGTATATTTCTCAGTTTCAGACTCATTTCGTTTAGAGTAATATTGTCTTACTTGGCTTAGTGAACTAGCACGTTTTCCAAAAGACTCCGCTGGGAGTCGTTACAATAATTAAGATATCGATTGCAAATTCAGAACTTTAATTAGTAGATAAAACTTTACAACGAGAAGATAAGGTTGAGAATCTATCAATGATTGGCTTCGGGACCGATTTCTGGCTGTAGATGAATTTTGATTCTCGCGCCCTCACGCTCACGTGAGAGACGGGACAACAAGGTGGTTTTTAGTCAGTAAAAGTCTGACAGTCCCCTTCGTCTCCCCAGGTGAAGGGGCTTCATGAGGATTTTCCACCTAGGGGCAAAAAAAAGGGACCGATTTCTATCGTAATCGTTGAGGTGATTTCCAACCCTGGTGCTCTGAATATATACGTATAAGGCTTCATTTATATTTTCTCCCAATTGTTTTCAGAGTGGATATGTTTATAAGGCAGACTTGGAGTGAAAGTCGGCTGCAGCTGCCAGAAGACATCTTCGAGGAAGGTGATGACCACGTGACCTTACCGCCAGAGTTCTTCGACAACCTCTGGCATCCAGATCCTTACTTTTTGAACTCCAAAGTCACAGGTAATTGTTTTGAAGATATTTTAACTACTAAAATATATAGTATATATATAGTATACAGTGAAATTCGTCCTCTATAATGTAGCTAAACAATTGAGTATTTTATATTATAGGGTAATAAGAAATATTGATACTTTCGTGCCATAATTATACCAACAAAATTAATATGTTTTTTTTTTTATATTGGACGTAAATAATATTGCAATAAATTCATTTTCGTTGTACAGCTCGCATCAAAAGTAAGTGTTAATATTGATCACATATTGTTTTATTGGATTTATTTTATACCGTAGAAAAATTATCCAACAAGCCATATTTTCTGTGACCGTTACATTTGATGAAAATGAATGCTGTTTTGATTGTTATATTTTAATTACAGTTATTTTGAGTTAGGTACTTATGATTAATTTATTATATGTAAAAATATGTGTCATTAATAAATAGCCTTTGATTTGTACCTAAAAAGTAATTATAGAATCTAACTTCTGTTCATTTTTAATAAAAATTTACGTTGTTAATTATATATCAAACTAAACTTTAATGCAACTATAAACGGTCTTGATACTTTAAGATTGCTCATCTACTGTTTGTTCACCTAAGCTATAAGAATTAAAAAAATATAAATTTTAACTAACTAATTTAGCTTCTTTAATTAATTTGATCTTGTAAATTTTAAACTAATGATGATACTTAAGTCTAACTAAGTTTTGCTTTTTAGGAGGAGCAATGCATTACAAACCTCGGTCTCCCGGTAATATTGTAATATTAAAGCTTTAATTAAAATTAATTATGTCACGAAAGCCTGTTGTACATTTATCGTTTAATTTTGGAATAATTGTCATAGCAGTTTATCTGATTCACAACAAGTTTCTACAAAGAGGTTGGTAATAAATGTCGATTGACCCCATCATTTGATTTTTTTTTATTTGTTCTCTGAATAGTTCCCTCATTTGAGTACACAAATGTGTACAAAATATTATATCAGTGAGCTTGTAAAGTATTATATCTTTTTAAAAGAGTAACCACGTAGTTTCTTTCGTTTTTCTTCAATTGAATCTACATTTTGGCACAAGTACCTAGCTTCACTGATAAACTGACTGATCTACTATATTCTATTCGACTTTTGTTAAGCTTCGAAGTTTGGTTCAGTTGAAAAAAAAAATTAACATTGAATTTGAATTTGAATGTATCTTTGAATTTTAAACGAATCAAACCTTTTTTGATTCCAAAATCACATCTACAGAACCGAAATTATACATTTTGTTTCTGATCTTGAAACCTAAAGAAAGACATTTGTCAATTGGAAAATTCCATCAGTGCATATCTCTTTCATAGCTTCCCGAATATCTTTTCAGTCAATGGTAGGAACGTTTCACGACAAAATATTCCAAAATAGCTTCTAAAAGCTAGCAATGTGGATACCATTCGAAACATTTTTGCATCAAAGAATTCTTCAATTGAACTACTGTTTTCTGGCCCGTATTTTCTTTGACCTGTATAAAACAGGTTTAAGCAGGTTTCTAAATAATAATTAAAAATTGGTATTCGCTATTTATGTATATTACAACATTTCAACCGTATTTTGGAGTTCAGTCTGTTCGGTTTTGTTTGGTATATAATGTATGTACAGCAGGCTTTTCAACACTTTTTTGCAAAAACTATAATGCTTTCGTTCACTGAGTTTTCACATGCAAAATATTGCTTGAGAATATTAGATTCAAACAAAAATAACACACTTGCATGAAAAGAACGAGAGCAAAGTATTTAAAAGATTTAAATAAAAATAAATTATTCTTAAAAAAATGGCACCGAAGATTTTGCAATTTTTTTTGTTCAGGTTAAATCTTCTTTGCATGTTTTTTCCCTTATTTTTATACTTAAAACTTATATATTATTTATTTACCTTGGTATTTTCACAGAATTTTTGAATTAAACGATTCTTAAAAGCTTCACGAAGAGTTTTATCAAACTTCCAACACTTTGCTTGTAATATAAACTGAATTTATTTTTTACACGAAACTAAAGCTATTTATATCTCAAAATAGTTTTGATTAGCTGAATTAAATAATAAATATAAAGTATCAAAACATGATATAGTGCGACACTATGGAGGTTTTGTAGTTACGCTTTTAGCGATGAAATTTCACGTTTACACATAATTTTGCCTTATCTTATGAGTAGATACGGACTTTAATGACGGTCACAAAGTTATCAACACTAAGTTTATTAGCCCAGGGCAGCTTTGGTGAACACTCGGTTGGAGCACTATTATACAACCACTGTAAATCCACAAATACATTGTGAGCTTGCTAATCACATGAAAATATTAAAATACGTCTTCACGCATTTATAATCACGTGAGTTTCGTTTGAAATTGATTTTTAAATAATAAACAGTAAAGCACTATTTACACGAAGCAATGATTTATGAGTAATAACGAAATATGTAGATAAAGTATTTTTTGTATTATAACGTTAAAATACTTATTAAATTATTCATTATGTTTAACGGCTTACTAAACCGAAACCGCTTTTGGCGATATAAGGCGACTTGTTTCAAGACACGCTAAGTGCTCGCTCGAACGTTGAGCCGCCGAATTGGTCATGAATATGAGCTCCTACCGTGGCTTGAAACTAGTCTAATACTTACACGAGTATGTGTTAAAATATAATAATTTAGTTATAGTAGGTATATGAGGTTTATCAATGATATACAACTTTGTGTATACAAGTTTTTGGTTGATTGTACTTACATATAAACATGATGTAAAAATGCTTTTGTAAATTAACATTGTCTTAATGTGCGTATATACATATACATTGAGAAGGGGCGCACTTTTAGATACACTTATTAAAATAAATTTCTAAAGGATCCTTCTTTAGAAGTGGGAACATGATATTTTTTTATTATTTGATATGTGCTGACTATTACATTATGATAAGCAATTGTCACCACCCATGGGCACTCGTAAAACCAGAGGAGATCGTATGAGGTATTGGGCCTCTGCTAACCTCACTTAAACAGAACGATATGATCTTTAGAAAGAATTCATTTGATCATTATTACCTCCAAAAAATTATAATATCTAATAATACACTTAAGAAAATTACAATACAATAAAATTAATTGGAAGTACAAAACATTATTTAAAGAAACAAATATGTATATAATCGGTTTCAACGCCTTTCTCTATCCCTAAATAAAAATTCGAAAATATTTTCTCTCAGTTATAATTAGATTTGATTGAAGAATCTTCCTTAACGAGATATTTATCTTACAAATGTAGATGTTGAACAGAAATTTAATTTTCCGGTTTCCATCAAATTCATTTTCCTCTGAGCCTTATTTAAGGACCTGACATTGAACCATATCTTTTGAAATCTTTTGATGTTCTGTTTTTTTATATGTTTATAAACATTTTCTTGACCAACATAATATTTATTATACATTGTTTTAAAGCAAGTACAATCATATCTTAATTTTATTTATTTGTTCTTCTTACAAAACACGACTCAATAGTGGACCGAACGCCTTCAGATATTCTCTAACAGTCAACCAAAGGCAGTAGAGATATCTAGCGGTCGGTGCAAAGCAAGTGCACGGAGTCTTAGGGCAGAAATAGGAGAAAAAAGGATTCCAAGGCGAAGATAATAGTAAAATATTTTTTATGCCTAGCTTTTGTATGATATAAAATGTATGTATAGATAGATTTTAATCGTATTGTGTGATATGATCATTCTGCTTAATAATATTCCAATCATGAAAGTTTGTAATTGTAAGTTACAAGCTACTTTTTATCTTAGTACTGTGAGCGAAGCCGGCGGCAGAAGTTATTGTTTTATATTTCCAATAGACAAGTAAGGTACAGTTTCTTGACTTAAATAAACTCCTGAGTTTCCACTCGTTTGATTATTTGTAACTATTTCAATAGGTCACCCTCCCAAGTTAAACTGACGTTAAAAGTAACCCGTATGATTTCCAAGATAACAACAAAATACTTTTTGAGAACAACAATCATGAGATATACTGTATTTATATTACCTGCTGCTCGCCTCCATTTAATCGGAGCGTGATGTTTTATAGCCTATACCACTCAGGAACATAGTAGCTATCTATCAGTGAAAGAATTTTGGAAATCCGACCAGCGGTTCCAAAGATTACCCCCTACATACAAACTTATAAATTTTACCTCTTTAATATATTTGTATAGATAACTACTTATGTACGAGAATAAACTGAGAAAAGATCTATTATTTTTAAATCACTTTGAGACTCTTATTCGTATGTAGCATGCACGTCGTGGCTATGTGGCGCAGCTGAATCCAGCTAAGCTCGGTGGAGATAATAAGAGTCCCGTTGTGACTTGAAACTAGTAGAGCTTTTCTGAGTAAAATGACGTGAATGTCATTATTTACAATAAACAAAACATTTTCCACAGAACTCAAATATAACTTGTAAATTTTCTAGAATATTCTTCATGGAATAAAATACGAGATAATAATATACCGTTGAATATTAACAAAACAATATATTTTGAAATAATGTTGATATCATGACGATTCCATTCTTCTGTTGTGAACTGAAAAACAATGAAACATTGAATAAGTTCTTAGCAAGTTCAGTTTGAGTCAATGAAACTAAAATAAGTAATTTTATCGCAAAATTGTCTAGACAATGTTTATAAAAGTAATAAAGAATACAGTGTGAAGTATTATCAAAGTCAATTAAAATATAGTTTTTAATGTCTAAATAATTCCAAAATGTATCCGCACTGCTTATCACTCACTTTTTTATGGTATCTTTTTTAAGCAATCGGCGCCGCCCATGGACACCCGCAACACCAAAGGAGTTACGAGTGCGTTGTCGGCCTTTTGGGGATAGGGGTTGCGGATATAAGGATCGGGAAGGGATAGGGGCAGGGGAGGGATTGGGCCTCCGGTAACCTCACTCACACGGTGAAACACAACGCTGTGGTTGTATCACTCCGGTCGAGCCGACCCATTTGTGCCAAATGAACCTAAAAAATTATAAAGCCTAAAGATATCCTTCAGTTGTTGTCTGTTTAAACATAGCCATTAACTTTGTGGTTTGTTACTCCCTAAAGAGATAGATAGCAACGTATCTTAGTTACCACTTCTCAGTTATTCTCAGGTAATAAAAGGCTTGTCCTTTCTCATATTATATAACATATAATATTTTACATGTCTATGAAACAAAATAATGCCACATTTTTATTCTACTAATTAATCATATTTTTTCTTTTTTTATTAAAATTTTTCTCAATTTTACCACACATATCACAACAGAAACGAAATAACTGCAATAACAAACAAAAAATGTATATACCTAATATTTATTTCTAGAAAGACGATTAATTTACCAGTTTAAAATAATCTCTCGTAAAATAATCTCAGTATATTCTTGTATATTAAAACTCTTTTAACATTTTTCTATTTTGTTTTTCCAGAAATTGCCGAGCTTACCCACAAGTTTTCTTCAGTGACGCTGTACAGAAACCAAACCGTCCGGTATTCGGCTAGGATGCACGCTATCATCGCCTGCCAGATGGAATTTCAACTTTATCCCATGGACATACAGTCGTGCCCTATTTATATTGAAAGCTGTTAGTAACGCTGTTTTTTTATGAGGTAGAATTAGAATTCAATAATCGAGCAGACTGATTACCTGATGGTAAGCAATAACAGCTTTGACACAACACCTTTGGCACTTCCAACAGCTGAAGAGTTACAAGAAATAATCCACCTTTTTAATCATACAACGAAATGCAAATAAAACGCTTTTTGGAAAAAATAAGAATTTCTTCGACGAGTCTTTAACTTGAAAAAAACATAATACTTTACACACTGCCCCTCCTATTCTTTACAATCAATAGTTGTTTTTGTCATTTTTTTATACAGTCCCAAAAGTTGAATTAATAATAGCGTTTCGACAAATTAAGAGAGTTTGTTCCTGGAGTATTCCAAAAAGTCAGATCTTAGAAATCTTTATCTCTACACAGCTTACTGTTAATTTCATAATCGAAAACTATAATATCAGTTCAGGTTTCGACCTATCTCATCAAATCAAAAACTTTTACCTGCAGTTTCACCCAGTGTTTAGCTTCCATTTTTCGTGTGATGTTATATAAAAAGCCTTTCTCCATAATCGACTATCCGAACTGTGTTTTCCATTCGACTAATCGATTGCAGAGATTAAATAAATAAATTATTTAGCTTGCTAAAATAAAAAACAGATCTCAGTCAAAAAAAAAATTAAACCATTTCTTTTTCAGTTTCATATAGTAATCAAAAAGTCCGGTTTCGTTGGAGCGAAGCTGGTGTGACCATTAACCCTGAGCTGAAACTTCTGCAATATCATATCGGAGAGCCACTGCGGCTTGAGGAAACTAATGGATACATGATCGATAAGGACGGTGAGAACTTTCAACATAATGTAACGTTACAAGGAGACATGGCGGGTGTAAGCGCAAAATGTACCACATATTGGAGCAGTAGTAAGGAACAGGGCAGTATTGGTCAGTAAAAGTCCGACACTCTTTCTCGCTCATACGGGGAAGGACTATTCATCGAAAGCTTGTCCATATTAAAAAGTATAAGTAAAAGTGTAATACGAGATTCTACACATATCACGCAGCCTATAATTGCCCACTGCTGGGCAAAAGCTTCTTCTCATAAGAGAAGGTTTGAGCATTATTCACCACGCTTGCTCATGGTTGATTGGCGATTTCCTTTCCAACTTATAATTATAAATTGCTAGCGGTCACCCCCGACTACGCCCGCGCAAAAGATCGATTTTACACTTTTTTAAGATTTTTTTTTTTAATTTTCTCTACGTACAAACTTTCTCTGGACTTCCACAAAAAAATACAAGACCACAATTAGCCAAGTCCGTAAATACATTGGTGAGTTATTTTATTAGAACGAAAAGTGGCATTGATTTTTGTATATTTAGATATGTCCAGATTTCTTCACGATATTATCCCTCGCCATAGGTATATATTACCGGCGTGAAACAACCACAGCGTTATGTTTCGCCGTGTGAGTGAGGTTACCGGAGGCCCAATCCTTCCCCTCCCCCGGTCCCTCCCCAATCCCTTAATCTCCAAAACCCTAATCCCCAAAAGATCGGCAACGTAACTCCTCCATCCTCTAACGTAACTCATCAGGTAATACGTTTTCTTGTTTGCCGACCGATAACATAAAAAAAATAATAATAATGTAGCGCATGTTGGAGCAGGAGAAGTAACAGGGTGGTATTCTGTGTTTTTTACTCTATTTTTTAATCATATGTGGTTTGTTTTTTGTAGTAGTATTTTATTCAAACAATTATAAAAAACATATTTCAGTAGAAAATAAGTTAAATACTTATTTTTTTAGCTTAAGTTTCTGCACAGATTGCCGTCATGCGTTAGTGTCGGCCATCGCTGAAAATCAGCGCCGCGACCCCGTCTCGTACGGGGTCGCTGCATTATGCTGAGCGTGGGCCATTTCGCGTGCTTGGACGCATATTTTTCTCCTACCGTCTACTTTTGTGATATTGTTATTACCATGCTTACTTTATGTATTTTTATTTTAACTTTATTTTATTATCTTGTTCGTTTTGTGTCTTTTATGCGTCCCAGACGCGAATAAATACTTTTTTTTTCTTTCTTTCTATTGGTCAGTAAGGTGGTATCGGTGAGCTAGAACGTAGTCCACAACGAATTTCCTATTGTGTCTCATATATCAGCAATCGAAGGGTTAATCAGCAGACACAATACATACCTAATGATTTGTTTTTTTTTTTTTGCCAATTACATAATAAGACTTTTATAAAAAAACCGGTGGATTTTATTATTATACACAAGAGCCCAATAAAGCTCATTGCTATTACTAGAGCAATTATACTTTGATTGTAAAGGAATTAATGTCTCCAAGAATCTAGTTAGTTTGGACGCTAACTAATTAGCTTTTTAGTACATCTGTACTAAAGTCTGAAGGAAATTAGAACAACTTAGGACATTTACCCAAAATGTGTTGTTTAATGAGTCTAGATAACGTTTGATGATCTTGTAATGGTCTATTAGATAAACTTGTCTTAGTGCTGTTTTCCGTCATAAAACGCACACTATTTGGAGAGTAATTATTTTAATTAGTGATTGTTATTTTTTATGTGATACGGCGGAAAACGAGCCTTCGTTTTAACTAAAGCCATACAATCGCCACTGCCCGTTGTCACCCTAAAGTTAGAGGAGTTACGAGTACAGTGTCTTTCGAGGTTTAAGAGTTAGAGGTTAGGGAGGATTTGAGGATTGGGGATAAGGTAGAGGAAGAAATAAGATTACACGGCAAAACACCACGTGAGCTTACAGCTTCATCATAAGAAAAATATATTTTTTCTTTTACTAGGTTAACGTATTCCTTTCTCTTTCTAGAGCCTTCGAAAGCCAATTCCTGTTGCCAAGTCAATTTTCCTGTCACTTATCGACAATATCGAATACTAAGGTTTATCAAGAACAATCAAAGAGAAATAAATCTTTGCCAGCTTAACTAATTACTTTTACTTGAAATAACCAACTACTCGTTAAAAAAAGACGTCGGAGGCTTCTTTTCTAAAGTTCAATACATCTTTAGCCCATAAGTGCATGCTGCTGAGCAAAGGCCTCTTCTTACACGGAAAAGTTTCGAGAATTAATTACCACGCTTGTTTATGGTGGATTAACAATTTAAAACTTAAGAAAACATAAGTCCAGGTTTTCTCGCAATGTTTTTCTTCACATTTTGTTAATGGTGACCAAATATAAAGAGGGTCAAGAGAAAAAATTCGCTTTGGAATTTGCTAGGTTTAAAACGCGGGAGTCTAAGCCTCCGGCCACCATAGTCTAAAAATTATATTTTCTAAGTAATATCATGCTTAAACAGAATATTTCTTGACTTATGTAGAGCGTTTGTATGAATACTTTATTAATTTACCCGGCTGTAATAATTTATGTAGCTTGTACTAGAATGAAGGTACATACATCGGCAGATTAAACGAACCTATTCCGTAAAATATATTTTCAACCCAATCTTGTTGCAAAGGAGTTGAAAATGTATTACAGAAATTTGTTAAGGTTGAAGGTTGAGTTGCTTGATATTCAGGTGCCTGTATTTAAATTATCTAGAATGTTCTGAATCGATGTTCGCGAAAACGAATCGTAATAAAGAAGAATTAAAGCACGCTTCATCTCGTCTAAATGATTGGAATCTGAAATTAGTTCACATTTGACGTTGTGTTATTAAGAATTTATTGCTCAAGGGAACTTCTTAATTAATTTAATTGTTACACCTACACGTGTATCTTTTATCTACATTCTGTGACACGGCTCTTAACTTTATAGAATTATAAATTCATTGGAATTGTCAGTCTGATTTCTCATATCAAATCCCGCTTCATAACTTTCAAAAGTACAATCAAAATTTTACCTAAAGGCCCATTTACGTAGATTAAGTTTTAAATTCATTGAAAACGCTTTCCATCTTTCTCTGGGTTACTTTTATCAAATATAGCTATCAGCGGTGGCGGCCAGGTGCTCCTGGATTTAGTCTACGCCATATTGTGGAGCGAGAGGAACTGTTAAGATGTCTTAGATGCGTTCATGTTGAGAAGCAAAGCGCTTAAAAGAATTACCTTCCTCGCGCTCTGTAGCCGCCGCCACCGGTAGCCAATGCTAGTTCGCCACCTGACCAGAATCAGACCCAAGCTAACGTCGCTCAAAGAAGCATCAGGCCACTATAGATTGGACCTACTAGAACATCCAGTCCAAGAGGGTGGTTTATAAGCTGTAAGAGTCTGAGAGTCCTCACTAGTCATTTACTGATTATCTCAGTCAAAAAGCTTTATCAAGAACATAAAAACGTTTTTAAGAGTTCACAATAAAAGCCTAAAACAAACTCAACTCAAAATGAATCAAGTGAATTAATTTAAAAATTCCATTGAACGATTAACTAAATCGGATTTTGGTTTCTCAGAAAATTAAACCAAAGAGTTTTGATGTAAAAACGAATTCCAGCAACGTCTTTTGTTTTGTGTGCTGGCAAAGCTAATAATCTCGTGGGCAGGCGTAATGCGTCGTTACAGAAAGAATTACAAATATCTTAAATACACAACGAAAAAGAATTTACTTTATGTCGATTAAAATAAAATTAATTGTTATTTTTTTGTTTGCAACGCGTTCATATTGTGTTGTACATTACTTTGGTCACTAATTGAATTCTTCGTTAACATTAATTAAATTGTCGGGTCAAGTATTGCAGTATTCTCATTAAAACGGAATCCTGGACTTAGTAGTTTTCTTTCTTCTTAAGTACTTCTCGCAAATCGTGTAGTTACCCAATACCTCAAGCCTTTTTGTGCGAAGCTAACAAAAAAGATAGTAAATAAATGTAGAGAGAGTTTATATATTATATTGGCCATTCAAGCTTGAAGTTTTTACTATTTATTCCATTAGTTAAAGGGTGAACATATTATTGTCATGATAAAAGTTTGGGAGCAACTTTTTTTTCATGTTGTGTGGTAGCTTAGGTTAGAACTGATGGAATTGCCAACAAAATAAATAGCTTTGAGGAGTATGATAAGAACATCGTATTCACCCACTTCTCGGTAAATCAAAACCGAACAACTACCAATGTGATGTTTCGTAGTTATATGTACAACTATGTAGGTACTATTTCTTAGCTTATACAATCGATCACAGAAACTTTCAAACTTGACTTTCAATTCCTAATAATAATTTTGTAATCGCCAATCTACACAAGCAAGTGTGGTGATTAATGCTCAAACCAAGAAGAAAGAAAAAGAGAACTTTGCTCAGCAGATAGCATTTGTAAGCTGACGATATGATGTGTTCATTTATTAGCAGGACTTTTGAATAAGATTGAAATGGGTTCAAATCATTTTATAGAATTGAAACAATGAAACAATGATTTTTTTTGCAAATAGGCCAAAAAGCGGCTTTTTTACACGTCTATTTATATGTGAAAAACTAGATGAAGCCATAATTATTATTATTTCCAGGTAACTACTCAAGATTGGTAGTGTACTTCAGGTTCGAGCGGCAAATCGGTCATCATTTAATTCAAACCTTCGCACCTTCATCTCTAGTCGTGATGTTGTCATGGTTCAGCTTCTGGCTGGATCTGGACGCGATACCTGGACGAGTGACACTCTTAGTAACATGCATGTTGACGCTGGTCACCATGTTCACCGGATTAAGAGCTGATATTCCACCTGTGGCTTATGTTAAGGTAAATAAAGATTATATTTGCTATATAATTCAGCTGTCCACAATATCCTACTAATGTTATAAATGTGAAAGTATTATGGCATGAATATAGGTGGATGTTTGGAACTCTTTAACGTAAAAACTGATGATGAATGGGATAACGCCAGAGTTTCTGTTAGATTTTATATTTACAGTATCTGCATCTAAACCCCTAATTTCAATAATACTTCAGACAATTGGAAAAGAGGAGTCTTCTAACACAAGCAAATGTTTGCTTAAAAGGAGGTCTTCAACAATTATATGTCAAATGTATACTATATGTATAATTGAAATATTTTTTTTTTTATTTTTTATCCTGTGAAATCTGGCCCCACAGTCTAATAGCTTCGTTCCGATCGTTGGATAATCAGCTACTAAGGCGCCAAGCTCCAAACTAGTTGATGCTTTTTTAGTAATAATTGCATTCCGTAGTTCTGCGAGCTCACTAAAAGGCAGAAGCACAACACAGAATTCTCTTATTTGAGTAACTTACAATCGGTAGATGCTTTTACCTAGGCAGTTAGTTTATGTTATGGGTGCTATATATAACGCTCAACGATAGGCTATTGCCAAAAAACCAACAGCTACGATTCCATGTACAGTCACCGAAACAAGTACTAGGCCATTCCCAAAACAATTTTGCTTGTACCTAAAAATCTTTCGGAGTGATAGTTTGTCATTATGAAGCAAAATACTTTCGTTTTTAATGATTTTTAAGTTTAAGTTTCAAAAACTATTTAAATGCCAACAAAACATCTGACATTTAAAAAAATAAAACTTTTTGTGGACCACTTCACTTATTTGCTTTTCTATAGTTCGCAATTCATTGAAGTATTTGGTACTTTAGTCGTAGAATACTACCTACAAAATTCAATGTTAGTGTGACCAAGCACTTATTTCGTTGACTGTACTAGAGTCGTAAATCGAAAAATCCAATAATACTTAATGTTAAAGCCACTGTCTAGCTTTCAGACCGCATTCAATTTTCCTGCTAAAGTAAAATGTTATTAGAATTATGATTGCGGAATACACTAGTATGTACACATACATAAAGTCTGAAATTATTGTATAGGCACCAAAACATAAAATTTACTTCGCAACTATTCGACTCAATGCAAAAAACTTTTTACAGAGTTCAATAATGGTGTTTACAAGCTGAGTAATAAAATTATAAACCAAAACGTATTGTCTCTATAATTTGTTCCACACAAGGATTTTCACCAGGGTCGTGTCGTGGGTAACATATACATACATACAAGTTTACATACACACACATACCCAGACCCGGAATACAATTTATGGGCACACACAAACAGTTGATCCGTGTGGGAATCGAACCCGCGACACGTTGCACGGCAGCGGTTTGCTCAGCCAATGCGTCATTTGTTCAGTCAAAAGAATTGATTAAAATAATTAAATTTATGCACAGATAACCTGATGGTAAGCAATCGTCGCCACCCATAGCCATCTGCAACTAGAGAAGGCATAAGGCATAGCTGTCCTTTTTGCTATTAGGGGTTTTCTGATTGAGAAAGAAAATAGAGAGAAAGGACTGACCATAAAAGTCCGCCTATGTAATGTTTTGTTGCATAAAGTTTAAATAAATAAATAAAAACGGTTAAATCAAATCCTAAACACAAAAACGAGAAAAGACATTAGAAGATAAAGATATAAGAGTTGACGAAATAAATTTATATTAGGTACTTTAATCTAAGTACCTAACTTCATCGGTAATGCCAATTTAGGTATAAGGAATTTAATAAAAAGAAATCTTGTTCCTCAGATTTTTAATCCATTTTTAATATATTCCTTTCAACATTTAATTGGAAATAAGCGAGATGCCTTTTTAGATAGAAAATGTTGTAATTATGTTCATTGAAAATGTTATTATTTTAAATAAGTTTTGTGTCTGCAACGTCCTCCGCGTCAAATACCGACTTCATTCCAAATTCTTTTTTCAAACTTATAAAATAGGTACCTAAAATATGTACATATATGCTCAAGACTCATTAGCATTACAAAAAAAAGTATCATTGAAATCTGCTAAAACTTGCTAAACTTGCGTGAGCAATCTATTTTTTTCTGGAGTACTGTTTCCTCGTCATCTTTTTTTTTACTAGCCTGTTATCTCCCGCTGCTAGGCAAAGCCCTCCATCTCGCTTCCACACCTCCGTGTCCACTAGTCTCGACGATAGGCGTCTACATCGTCATCATCTTATTTAATGAAAAATAATTATATACGTTATAGGCACCCTTTTCTTCATATATAATATGCGTAAATCAATACATAGTATAAAACAAACCCGCTTTCTCTGTACAAAGATTTAAGCAAACATAGGGACCAATATCCCTACGCTACGACTACGCATCGGATTATGATGCGTTTTTTAGTACATAGAGTGATTAAAGAGGAAGGTTTATATATATAATGAAATCCATTATATAATATAGTAAAGAATGTTAGTATCAGCATTTAAGCCACGCAAAGCCGGGGCAGGTCGCTGGTGTATCATACGTTTCTCTAAGTAGATTGTAATAAACAGGAGCTTAGTCCAATTTGCACCCAAATAAGGAAAATGGTATAAGCAGCTAAATAAATAATTCTGTGGTAACGTAATAAGATTTCGATATTCCTTTTTCTTGAAAGAAACATGATACATTTCGCTCGTTGCGTACACGTCAGCTATACGCAAGGTTTCTGGTTTGATTTTACGTGGGATATAGGTTACATGGTTTCTTGTTGGAAAAGCATAAAGATAACTGGAGTTTTCCTTTCAATTGATTAAAAGAAAGAAGGAGGTTGTCCGTTTGATATGCAGGCATGTATGTAGTATCCATGACTATTTGTGGGCAATTATCTCGCAATTTGCTAAACCAGTTTTAATGCGGAATTGAGAAAAGTATTCTTTGCTGATGGAAGGTAGGTTCGTAACTTCACTCGAATTTTAGTATAATTTTTCTCGATTTCTCCATTATGGACTGTACGAATTATGTTTTTTTTAGTTTTTTTTTATTTTACAATTTTTCCGATATCAAATAAGCATTTCCATGTAACTAGTCGATTTTCCTACATATTAAGTCCGCGAGCTTTTTGATAATTTGCGATGTTCTACATTTTTCAGATAACTTTTTCATTTAAATATTTGCAGTGTTCTAAATTTTTATTGATATCATATTCATAGTTTCAGCCCTAAAACTAAAAACAGATCAACATACAGATTCTTAAGAAATTAAAGATTGTTGCATTTTTGTCCAGGCCTTGGACCTCTGGATGGCTGGCTGCATGATGTTTGTGTTCGCTGCTCTGGGAGAGTTTGTCGTCGTGAAGGTGTTGGACAAGCAGTATCAGATGAACAAGACCAAAGCCCAGGAGTCCATGCCAAGGATCATACCGGTGGTAAATATCTTATTCTTGTTACTTCTGTAGGTATAGTACTAGAACAGAAACTCGATCAATACTGTACTCGTAGAAGCACACATTTCACTTCACTCACACTCCAAAGATATTTTTATATTCAAACGAATCAGACAAAACAGATTTCATATTGATTCACTTTATTTTAAAACTGTCTTCAAGAACTAAGTCGCTAGCATGAATACTGACCAACAAGTTTCTTATACTGATTCCCGAAGTTAAAATTTCTAATTTCATAAAAAAAACTCTGTAATATACTACAAAAACAAAACATATCTTGTCATCAAAAAATTGTACAAAATTTCTCAAACCGCACTCCATGGCCTCAATCTCGACAACCAGTTCCAAATCGAACCAAGATTATTGAGACAAAGATGTTTCGTTATCTGTGGCAGCGTTTGAATGGAGAGAAGGGTTCTTGTGGGACCCTTGCAGCTTGGGAGGGGAGTCAGGTTAGGTGCCGCAAGGTGGACCTGACGTCTCCTACGTCGCCCCCTGCAGCCACTCCAGCGGTACACCCAGCTCCATCAGCTACGCATGCCACCGCCCACCTGGTCGGCGTTGAACGACGGCAGAGCATACTTCAGGTATATATAATTTTTTGACTTGAACTCCTAAATTTTAGCACCAATAATCATCAAGCATTCATCAAGCTCTTCATCAGTGAAGAAATTGATTAATGTAGAAGTAAAAGATATTATTCCAATATTGTGTCATATGATGTTTTGACTCTGGCTACTCTTAACGCATATAGATGTAACGATATACGAGTAAGTATGGGCGTGCACTATTGAGTTAGAACATATATGTATGCCCCAGCTGATGGAAAGATTTAGCTTGAAGAAGATTCGATTAAAAAAAAAGTCTCCTTACAACAATTTATTTTATGTACCTATGTATAGTTAAATGCTTACATGATAAGCTTAGGCTACATAATGCCGTATGCCATGATCTCTTGACAGCTTCAGAGTTGACTGGGAAATCAACGAAACTAGGCTTGTGGAAGATATCGTAACAGTTAGATAGATAAAATACATATAGTTATTTTAAAACAAATGTATTATTATATAAACAACATAAAACGTATCTCAAATAATAGGAATACATAACTATTATATTATAAATGACGAAGACCTTAACTTAGCGTTGCAATGACTTTGACCAATAAATTATTTGCTTATATTTCAGGTCGCCTGGCTAGACGCTGACACGGGTCAAGAACGAGTTCTATGGAGGGAGATCGATAAACTCTCTCGTGTGGTTTTTCCAGCACTGTTCCTCCTCTTCGTCACCATGTACTGGCCTGTCCTCCTCCTCAAAACGAAGACCTCCTCATAACAATTAGATTCCTCGAGCCATACTGTCTCTGCCTAAAACATTCGTGAATTAATGTTGTATCAAGGCTTCAGAAATGCCTGTAATGTCGACTGAAGTCAAGTAAGCACAAAATTAAAGGCTTTACTGAATCGACTAGGTTATTACTTATTAGGGCCTTTTGAATTATTTCGTATGAAATGGGAATTCGTATGAAATTGGAGTTTTAGGTATTAGTTTTGTCGGAGATTAAAGGAAAGGTAACCGAAGATACAAAAATTAGTTCGCATGACGACACGTAACACTGTCGGGACGAACTTTTTTGGTTGATTGACTTATTTAAATGTGAAGGCATTTAAACTGAGCACTGTAGTAGTTTGGCTCGAAAATAAAAAGACAAAAAGCCCTCAGGATTTACAGAGAGACCTAAAAAAACTAGAACACTTTGATCTTAAAGTGTGACACCGAAGCAAAGGCCTTTGAATTCTATGTTAATCTAACAGCTAGGTTTTTTCTTCAAAGGAATAGCGACAGCGAAAATTATCTTGATTAAAGAAAATGTAGGAATCTACAGCTCAATTTCTTTTTCTGCGTATAAATAATTTTCATTTTTTTTTTTTTGTTATAATCGAAAAATATCAACGATGTCTCTCCCATATAAAATATTCCGAGAAAAAAAATCTTGTAGGAGGAGAATGTACAGTTATTAGTTTTAAAAAGGTTGAGGGTATCTTGAATGTAGATATAGCTATAAGTAGATGCTTGACAAAATATTGTAATAAAACATAAAAAAAAACCAAACGTAACAAAAATTGCACAAAACAAATACCTATATTAACCTCCGTGGAGATTTTAAAGATATATTTTTACTTCAATAAATATGTTATGTATTTCAAAATAAATTATGCTATATTTCTATTTGAATAAAGTTCAAAATGCGTCGATATTTTATTGTTATTATAATAATAGAATTAAGGTGCTGCTAGATAAGCTATTTAATAGAGCATTGTTATACAAATGTTGTTGTTTTAAAGTCAAATTCTAATCAGATTTCGAAGAGAAGTTGTTTTTCAAAAGTTTATAGACGTTTAAATTTTCGAAACATGTGTTAACTTTGATAAGAGTTACTTTATAAGATTCGATTTTGTTAATAATAAATAACAGATGCTTCTGAACTCCTTTCTTCGTTTGTGTAGTAGATAAAGTATTATTAAAAGGTTTTAATATCAGATAAGAACAAGTCTAGATGGGATGATGGCCATATTTTTTTTACGTCAATTTATTGAACAACCTAACTGAGGCAAGCTTATCTACTTTCAAGTCACAACGAGTATCTTTTTTCAGCGTGGCGCACTCGACGGCGTTATTTTTAATAAATTATTTATTATTATACAGGGTGTAAAAAGACACTTAACGAAGCCGAAAGCCACGTATTCTACCCATTATTTGGATAATTTTTTGTCGTTTCCCAGTGATAATTTTAGCGTAAAGCTACTTAGTTAGAACTGCAGTATGCGTAGTTAACGGTTTCGTTAAGTGTCTTTTTACACCCTGTGTATAACAGTTATTTTAGTAAGAGTAGTCTTTACTTTTGATAAATTAAGTAAGATTCATTCACGATTTAATATTAAAATACGTTTTTATATTCAATAGCTGGCTGACAGAATGAATAGATTTCTTGTTCTCCTATACAATATTCCTATTGTGCTCGGCTATAGACAATAAATAATGACAAGCATCTAGTTTCCTAACTTATTATTATTTAGTCAACTACTTGGTCAAATAATAAAATTTAAAAATATACCTACGTGTCATTTAAAAGTACCTTCTTCTGTGTTCCTAGTCCGGGTCATAAGATACAACCATGGCCACGAAATCTCTGCCTCCATTTTGTAACAACAATTATTTAAAAACCTTTAAACTTTCTTCTTTCATGCTAACAACAAGACGATCGACCAGTGCAAGTATGCAACCAGGTCTAATCGTCAAATTACATCCCAAGGTATATTAAAATATTAAATAACTAGCCAGTGCTTCGCACGGGTCCAACTATCTCGCTATCAAAGGGTCGCTTTTCCCAATTTTCTCCTCTAGTTGTCTCATATTTTCTTTGATAAGAACCCTCTCCTGACAATAACAAACATAATAAAAAAGAATTAGCAAAATTGGTCCAGGCGTTGTTGAGTTATGCGCTTACCAACACATTTTGCGATCCATTTTAATATAATATATAGGTTACTTTTCGCATTAATACCTGTTTAATAAAATGTTGTTATTTATTTAAAAACTTGTTACTTATTTTACTTGACCAAATAATGATTTTAAAACAACAAAATATAAATTAAAATAAGGTGCTTACGTCATCAGCGTCATTTAAGGGATAGTGTCGCAATCATGATCAGCTTTAAATCATTGTGATAGCTTGTATAATGGGATTTTATAAATAAATCTATAATTATAAGTTTCATTTATAGTATAGTTATATAAATATAAGTGATTTTAGATTTATAGGTAGGTACTTTAATACAATCTGTGACATAAAACAAGTATTGAAATAATCTAAATTGTTTAGGTGTTAAATAATATCTGGAGTTATCAACGCATGCAATTATATAGAACACTTTTACAAAATTTGATTGATTTGATGTTGTTTTTTATCCAAAAATGTATTTTATATAATTGCAATTAGGGTTATATTTAGCCTGTTTAATCAGATTTTTTATTTATTGATGATGTTTTCAAATCTATGAACATTATTTTAGTTTTATAATTGTTATCTACATTGTTGAATAATTTATTAAATTCTGGATTCTGATTATATTTTTGTGTAATAATTTTTTAAACAAAAACACATTATTAGTGTTACAAAAAATAAATAAATAATACGAATATATTTACAAAAATGTTAAAACAAATGCAACAAAGTGCGTTAAAATAGGATTAATAAATTATTAGATAAGATATTATTTTATGACATTAAAAATACAAATATATATTTTAATAGGAAATAAGGGTTTTCCTATCTGTCCATTGTTGCAGTTATATTGTACAGAATAATTACAATTTTAAGATTAAATAATTATAATTATAATTTTAATATAATTATGCTTTAGTGCTAAGGTTACGAGCTCATACGTCACGGATGCCTTAACTGTTTGACGTTTTTATGTGCAAGATTATTAAATAGAATATTTTTGTTCAACACAAAAGAAAATAAGTCATAATGAAATTGAATAAAAAATGGTTTTGTCATTATTAATCGTTTTATTTCATTTTTTTTTTAAAAAAAAGGAATGTGTATCATGTATCTGTCTTTCTAAAATTTAATATAATTTGATGGGTTCGTCCAAGGATGAAATATGTTTAAGAATAATTTTACAATACATCCACTATAACAATTTTGGGTCCCAGTCTCATTGTAATTTACATAATTTTCTAATATCCCAAGCGCCTGATAAATAATAAAGAGCAATAAGTTGCGCTACAGTGAATATTTTTAATTTCGCTTTGTCACTCGTAAAAGGTGTCTGTGTAGAAATTAAGACAGAATTTTACTTCAAATAGTGATCATCACAATAGAAAAAAAAAATGTACAATATATTTTGAAAAAACCTTTTAAAGGTTGGGTATTTAAATGTTAAATGAAATACTAATACTATTTATCAAAAAACTCGAATCAAAATCAGTTGCGTAGTTTCCAAGATTTAAGCACACATAGGGATACAGGGATACTTCAAGTGTGGGAGAGCCATGCTTCGGCACGAATGGGTCGGCTCGAACGGAGTGATACCACGGCCTCACAGAAAACCGGCGTGAAACAACCACAGCGTTGTATTTCGCCGTGTGAGTGAGGTTACCGGAGGCCCAATCTTTCCATACCCCCAATCCGTCCTCAATCCTTAATTCTCCAAATCCCTAATCCCTAAACTAAAAGGTCGACAACGCACTCGTAACTCCTCCGTTGCGGGTGTCCATGGGCGGCGCTGATTACTTACTATCAGGTAATCCGTATGCTCGTTTGCCGATCTATTAAATAATAAAAAAATACAGGGACAGAGAAAGTGACTTTGTTTCATACTATGTAGTGATGTATGTAGATAATGGTTCAAATTATGTAAATGTTTTTGAAGGTATAAATGACAAATTGCTGCTAAGCATGTCAGGGTCGTCACGGCGCTGGCCATCCACAATGTCTTCACACTTCATGCACAGCGGTCCCACAGACTTAGTGGCTACGCTGAACAAACATTTAGAGTAGTCTTGTTTCACTATAATGAATCTCTTATCTATATACTTACCTATTTTTGCAGGTGTAAGTCACGATGTGACAGACAATTATTTTGTTTGTTGTTATCTAACTACGTTGTTATTCAACCTTTTTTCTAAGGAAAAAGTACATTTAAGTGTGGGAGAGTCATAGTTTAGCACGAAGCAGCTGCAGAAAGGGCTTCTTCGACCGTGGTATCACTCCTACGGCGCGGCGTAACAACAACTTACGTTGCGTTTTGCCGTATGTGTGAAGTTACCGCCTAAATACTAAATCCTCTATCCATTCATTCCTCGAAAATCCCTGATTGCTTACCACCAGGTAATCCTTCTGCCCATTTGCCGACCGATGACATTAAAAAATGTTTTTCATAGATTTTATTGGTTTAATTTTACAATACATTTTCCCGTGTAAAGCGAATGAAAAGTCACCTACATGTGTCATATAAGTTATTCCACACCATAATCCCTATACTTAGCGCGAGAGCATTTGCTTACTTAGGTACATAACTCACACATAAATAATTTGTAGGTAATCTATAATCTATATTTTGTAAAGCTACAGCAGTAAATAACAATGGAAGGTTTCTTAGGTATGAAAAATTTCACGACATGATTTTTCAATTGGAAAGGGTATCAATTACCATATTTGTTCATGACGGATAAACGATTTTAAACTCACGTATTATTATTATAAATATCATTTTCATCCAGACCTTTTCCTTCACAGTAAACAGAACATGGACTTAATAAAATATTAAAATGTACAACGAACGTAATAAACGTCGTTCTTCGAAGTAAAATTGTGGAAAATGGCGTGACCGTGACCACAGACACTGCCAAATTACGAGGACCGTGCAAACGATGGCAATAAAAAGAATGAAACATTTGATTTGGTTGACACTTTCAACGCAGATAACTTTCTTTTAGGTCAATGAAACGGTGACATAACGTTTTAGTAACGTTGTGACAAAGATAAGTATTGGTTTTACAGTTTGATAGAATAATAACAGTGTTTGTAAGATGCTGTGTCGTTCAAGAATTTTTATGGCTTGAGTTATAAGTAAGCGATGGGATCACCTGATGGTGAGCGATCAGTTTCGCTCATAAGCACTACCAATACAAGAGTTAAAACTCCGTTGCTAGACTTTTAGCTATGGGGATTCGAGGATTTGAAGATTGAAATGATATGAGTGCAAAAACACTTTAGCTAAGTATGAGATCAACGAAGTTACCAACAATGACAATTTAGTTTCAACAGACACAATAACTTTATACCCGTTTTCAGTAAGTCTTAATAAAGATTTTACACTAAATGTATTTCTGATAAGCACTGAAATGGAATGGAAAGGAGAAATTATATTTCATAGAAGTAAAAATATAAAAAAAAAAACATTTTGTTAATCTATGTCAATGTAGCGAGACATAATAGCAATACCAGGCCCGATCCGTGATGCACCGCGGTCTGGCTTAGAGCAGAAGAAACGGGGTGTTTTAAGTATAAACGTA